AAAGATAACTTTGGCCAATGAGTTCTCACACCTGTGACGTTTTTCTAGGGGCCTAGACGAACAAAAAGTTTGTCTGAGGGGCCTTGACGCAATTTTCCCAAAAAATAAAAATTAAATAAAAGAGTTGCTGAGCTGGCTGTGCGTAAAAGCAAAATAGAAAGGTTTTGTCATTGCAGTTTTCACAAAATAAGTGATATTATGTACTTACATTTTGCACTCTTTGGTTTAATTCTTATGTTTTTTGTGCCCACAACATATTCTTTACAAGTATGTAGGTTTCCAACTTTTGTTGTATATCATCTTTGTTTTTTGCATATTGTAACTTACGATTTTCCTTGACTGTTTAATTGGGCATGTGGAAAGATTGATTATTGTATTTGTATTCAGATTTTCTTGAATCATAAAAGCATGAATTTTTTTAATGATCTTATAAATTGATTGATAAGGCAAACACGGTGTATATGTTATCCCACTAACTTCTGTTTTTAATCTACAGTCGAATGACAATTGGAAAAATGATAGAGCTTCTCGGTGGTAAGGCAGGCGTCTCTTGTGGTAGATTTCACTATGGCAGTGCCTTTGGGGAACCAAGTGGTCATGCAGATAAAGTTGAAGATATTAGGTATAGTGATATCTGGAATAGATCCATATTTTTGGAGAAAACCATTATTATATGCTTATTCTCTCATGGTCAACAACAGTTATACCCTTGTCAAGCATGGGTTTAGCTACAGTGGCAAGGATTTCATCTACTCTGGTATGTAAAATTGCTCTGACTAATTTCGTATTGGGCTTTTTAGATAGTAGTCCCTTATATCATAGGTATTTTGCTATTGGTCCCTCAAATCTTCATATTTTGATATTAGTCACCTTAATTACCTCAATATGTTGATATTAGTCCTTCTAGTTAGTTGTTGTTAAAATGGTTAGGGAATATTTTGTTTTCTTTTAACTTTTTTGTTGAATGGACAGTTATACCCTTTTCATCCCTCCACTCCAGCCTCTTCGCCCTTCTCTTTGCCCTCGACCATTGCCGCCGCTCCCTTTCCGCTCTCTCTCTCTCCCGTCAATTAGGCCCACTCTAATATTGTGGTGACAACATTACTGGTGGAGGTGGTAGTAGTGGTGGTGATAGTGGGTGTAGACGGTTAAAATATACTCTATTGGACCAATATTGAGACTGAGTCCAAGAAGTAAACACCCATGGGCTAAACACTTTAGATGGGCTTAAGCATTAGCATATGGTAGGCTATAGCGAAGTTCACTTGGATCACATGCGAACATGGTTGCATCTATCCAAGTCAAAAGGCGTCATCAAGTTGGCCGAGTCAATAAACGAGTTCAAGTCAGGTTCTGAGTCAAATCTGAACTTATCAACGGAGCCATGGCGAAGGTCGCTCAAGTCATAATGAAGCTCGCTCTCAAGATCAAGTCAAAGTGAAGCTTCTAGCGAGGCTCGCCTAAAACGAGATTCAACCAAATAGTTTACGTGAGACATAACGAAGTTCATTGAAGACAACAAAGTTCGCTGAAGCCAAAGTCGTAGCGAACCTCGCCAAACAGCCCATGTCGACTCAATTTGACCAAATCAAAAGCGAGTCGACTCTCAGAACATTTCTCGCAAGGAGTCATCTCTTCTCTCCAGACCGAGTCGAGAACTTTTGAGGCCGACTAAAAAGACGGTACTCGCCCTTCTTGTAAGGAGTCGTCTCTTCTCACCAGGACGTATCGTCCCTTCTCGCTAGGTCAAATCGTTCATTCTTATGAGGCTGAGTCGAAAGGTGTCATCAATTAGCCAAACCTAGAGTCGATTTCTGTGTTACGTTCGAACTCA